AAAGAGCTCTTGTATATAAGGGGGGCAAATCCACTTTCCAAACCAATGTGGGACAAAGCTCACTTTTCCCTTCATTTCCCAACTCAAATGGGTCTACTTTGAGAATCAATATCTCATTCACCCATTATCCGTTTTGAGCGTACAATATATCAATCTCTTCATCTCACTACGAAGAACCCGAGTCCACTTTGACCCGACCCAAATCGGAAGTGGACCCCGCTGATAATTGTACCACAAAATAACCACTTAATATGCCATTTTAAGCTATTTTTCCAACAATCCCCCACATGAATGAAAATTGTTTTTCAGGGTATTTTAAAATCGGAAACAACTGTGTTCAACGGTCGATTCCTGCATAGGATAGGTAGGGTCACACCCTTTGAACCTTCCCTCGTGAAGATACATTTACTCTACTGGCTATACAGTAGAACGCGATGTCTTTGAACCGACTGCCGTTTGTGTAGACGATGACATATCTCACAAAGGAACCCCCAACCATGCTTTGTTCTCATGACTGTGCCCATTTTGGTCGTGGGTCACCATTCCTGGTTCTGCAAGAGTTTGTGAAGAATTGTGCCCATCAATTCTCCTTTGAAGCGACCCTCACTTCTCTCTCACATAGGTGATTCTTTTCCGACTATCCCACATACTCACACATGTCAACCGACATTCAAATCACTAAAGCATTTAACATGCTAACCTTGTGCGGGGGCCACTGTTTCTAACAAGGAGTGGTAGGGAATTCGAGACCCCCACAGTGACACGCTTCGTTCCATAATTTAGTTGTCCCATTGAACCTAGGTGCTAGCTAGGTTGGGTGTCCATTATAGAACTTTATACCACAGGCTTTAGACTCATTCCTCGTCTCAACTTCTCCACAGCTACTCTACATAACCCTTTGGTTAGCGGATCCGCTATATTGTCTTTTGACTTTACGTAGTCAATCGAGACAAAACCAGTTGTGAGAAGTTGTCTAATGGTATTATGTCTACGACGCACATGTCTAGACTTCCCATTATACATATGATTCTGTACTCTTTCAATTGCGGCTTGACTATCACAATGCACACACATTGGAGGTACAGGTCTTTCCCAATTAGGAATATCCTCTAAAAAATGGCGTAGCCATTCAGCCTCTTCGCAACATTTGTCCAAGGCTATCAGCTCAGATTCCATCGTGGATCTAGCTATCACGGTCTTTTTAGAGGATTTCCATGCAACGGCTGCACTGGCTAGTGTAAACACGTAGCCACTCGTGGACTTGGAGTCCTTAATATCAGATATCCAGCTAGCGTCGCTATACCCTTCAAGTACAGCAGGATATCTCCCATAGTGCAGTCCAAGGTCTCGAGTATACCTTAAGTATCTCAGAACCTTCACTATTGTCGTCTAGTGCATGGCACCAGGGTTACTCGTATATCTACTGTGTTTACTAACCGCAAAGGCAATATCCAGCCTAGTACAGCTCATTAGATACATCAAACTACCAATAACCCGAGCATATTCTACTTGAGAAATACACTCCCCGTGGTTCTTGGTTAGATGAGCGCTTCGATCTAATGGCGTCCTAGTCTTTTGATGATTATCCTTGTTAAATTTTTCAGGATTTTATCAATATAATGTGATTGGCTCAACACAAGACCATCAGGTCTTCTAATGATTCTAATCCCGATGATTAAATCAGCCAAACCCATATCCTTCATGTCAAATCTCGCATTTAACATGTTTTTGGTAGACTTGATCATCCGATCGTTACTACCAACTATGAGCATATCATCTACGTATAAACAAAGAATAACATAGCCGTCTATCGTTTCCTTAACGTAGACACATTTGTCACTTTCGTTTATTTTAAACCCATTAGTCAACATCGCATGGTCAAACTTCTCGTGCCATTGCTTAGGCGCTTGTTTTAAACCAAATAGCGATTTAACCAACTTAGACACTTTCCTTTCTTGGCCCGGAACCACGAACCTTTCGGGTTGTTCCATATAGATTTCCTCATCTAATTCGCCATTTAGGAAAGCGGTTTTAACGTCCATTTGATGAACTTCCAAATTTCGTATAGGAAGTCCGAATCCTTCCAATAGCCAACCGCCATCACGGATTGGGCATCCTGTTCCCTTAGTTCGGGAACCTTCTCGGTCAAGAATCTCGCCAAGCCGAGAGTTTTCAGGTAGAACAACATCTTTTGTTGCCACCTCTTGAAGTTCGATCCACTACCGGTGAACTTCTCCAGTCTTTCGGCTGAGCCACTCGGTACCGAAGGGACCCGAGTCATGGGAATATATCCCTCAGTGCTCCCACCATCTTGTGAACCAACGTTCACTGGTGTAGCTTGGGAATTAGCAACATTGTTGCCATTCCCACCATTGTTGTTCTCAACAACATTCTCCTCCCCATGAACTGGCAAAGCGGGGTTCTCCATTTCTTCTAGGAAATTAGAGATAAACAGCCAAAGGGAAACGAGTATAAGGTTTTAAGATTGTTGGGTAATATGGTTGAAAATCGCAAAATAATAATCCTACGGAAAGATTATTGATATATGGGAAAAACAGGAAAAACTGGGAAGGAAAAGGTGGAGTGTTTGGGTAAAGGTTAGCACGAGTTTGAACACAAAGTTCTTTTCCTTAAAACCTTATTTGCTACCTCCCACAAGTGCTAGGAGCGTTGTAGCCTAGGTTTCCCAGGATAAAACGTGCTACGGTTCTTTGTTTAAGCACCTAAACAAAGAACCCGGCAAACAAAGCAAGGCAAGAACACAGGTAGGCCTAAGAAGAGAGTAGAAGCAGAAGTTTTGAAGCTAAAGCGTACTGGAATTCCTTTTGATTTCTGCCACCCACTAAGTAGGGTACCGAAGTTTGAGCTGGGGTTGAATCAAGCCTTTTCGATCTCGTTTCTAGTTGGAATTTGATTTGCACACCACCTCCCCTCCCCCCGCGCGAGAGAGCCTCTATGCTATACAATTCTACAAGTTTCAAAAGATCTATTGTATATAAGGGGGGTAAATCCACTTTCCAAACCAATGTGGGACAAAGCTCACTTTTCCCTTCATTTCCCAACTCAAATGGGTCAACTTTGAGAATCAATATCTCATTCACCCATTATCCGTTTTGAGCGTACAATATATCAATCTCTTCATCTCACTACGAAGAACCTGAATCCACTTTGACCCGACCCAAATCGGAAGTGGACCCCACTGATAATTGTACCACAAAATAGCCACTTAATATGCCATTTTATGCCATTTTAAGCTATTTTTTTCCAACAATACTTGGGATAAAAATCACAAAAACTGAGAAAGGTTATCTTTTATCTCAAGGTCATTATACGTAGAAACTTCTAAAGAAGTTTGCGAGTTATGAGGTCACTCCGACCAAGACCCCTTTTGATCCTAGTGTAAAACTGTCAAAAAACGTAGAGGCTAGTGTGTCACAAGAAGAATATGCAAAAATAATCGAAAGTCTAATGTTTCTGATGAATTATACTAGACCCGACATTGCATATGCTGTGAACAAACTCAGTCGCTACACGCACAACTCGAGTGTTCCACATTGGGATGCATTAAAACGGGTACTGCGATACCTCAGAGGCACAGTGGACTGGGGCCTCCACTACAAAAGGTCGCCAATCGTGCTAGAAGGGTATTGTGACACGAATTGGGTAAACGGTAGCGATGATGCAAGCTCAACTAGTGGATATGTATTCACTATGTGTGGAGCCGCTTTATCCTGGAAATCAACCAAACAATCGTGCATTGCTAGATCAACTGGTTTTTTTTTTATTGTTTAATTAATCTTCTTTTGATTATTTATAACAAGACTCAATATTTCAATTATGTTTTGCATTATTATGAATGATTTAGGTCATTATGGTATTAATATTTTTTTTGTCTGTATTTTAATAATGGTATAATTATACATTACTTTACAAATATTATACTATTATTTTTTTGAGTCAAAATTGTTCTTACATTATTGTCAAACATGTGCAACTTAACTACAAAGTTGTTGATCAGAAATACAACTATACCTGAATTCTAAAGGATAGGACCATTGTCCAAAGAATTGACAATATTGACATCTCACTTGCTCCAATTGAACAAGTTTACACATCATTCTCAAAATTTTATCAATGCATGAAAAGTTCTAAAAAAATTGTAATTTAATTTTTACTATATCATTATCACAATAAAATTTTTGAAAACTGAAAATTTCTTGTCCAATCAACTTTTAGTCAAATTAGTTATTTTTTTTTAATAGTAGTAGTCAAACTAGTATAAATAATCATAATATTTAAGTAAATTTTTAATCTTAAAATAATTAAATCTTCATAAATTCTTAATAAATATTTGAGAGCAAGTTAATTTATATTACCGAATAGTTTTTTCTCAATTTTTCCATAGAAACATATTTCTTTAAAGTATACTAGTAGTTGCACCCGTTCGATGCACGGCTATATATATAGTATGATATATATACAGTATAGAATATAGTTATTGGAAATGCAATAAATTTGAAATGAAAAACTTGTAATTTTATTACACATTATGAATTTAATAATTTTATTAGACATTGTTGAAGACTTCTTTGTTGAACCAATGTGATGCACGGCTACCTATATAGTACATAGAATATTCCGTATAATATAATAAGATGAAGAATATACAATTTAAAAGCTTACTAAATTTGAAATGATAAATTGTGGAATGTTATTACACATTGTTGAAGACTTCGTTGTACACAACATTTTTAGTCGTACTAAGATATGGTACATTTTCGCCACAAATCAAAATTTTCAAACTCCTTGGGTTACTAACTCTTGAAACAGCTACGTACAATTGGCCATGGTTAAAGATAGGTCTTTTCAACAGCAATCTCACTTTAGAAAGTGTTTGGCCTTGACTTTTGTTGATTGTCATGGCATAGGATAACATTAACGGGAATTGCTTCCGTTGAAATTTGAAAGGCAATCTTGGATCTGACGGTGTAAGTGACATTCTAGGAATTAATACTCTGGTCCCTGCATTTGTACCGCATGATCTTGGCTTCCAACACGTGATCAGCTAACCTAGTAACAATCAACCTTGTACCGTTGCATAATCCCAGTGTGTGATCAATATTTCTCAAGAGCATAACAGGTGACCCAACTTTCAATGTCAAAGCATGATTTGGTACTCCAGAACATCTCAGCCCATTTAAGAATTCGGGAGTGTGCAAATCTGCTAACATATCAACATTTGAATCTGACTTACAAACAGAATCACAACTCAAGTAAGTCTTACCCTCAGCCGGATTATGATCATTCATGTATTGGTTAATGCTATCTACCACATCCAATGTTGGAGTCAAAATAGCACTATCATTAAGATAGGGCAGATCGCCAATACCCAATTTAAAATGAGGGAAGTTGCTATCAACATTGTAGCAATAGGGTCATCCTCGCACTTCAGCAATAAGTGTTCTGGAATTGTAATATTTAACTCACCATCACTTGAATTACCAACATTGTCGTCACCTATAGTAGCTATCCATTTTGCAAAGTCCTCAATCTCTTTGCCCTCGATTTCTGACTGTATACTTCTTAGGCGTAGATTCTTAGTTAGCCTAAATACTTTGCAGGATTTCCAAAGATATGAGGAACTAATGCTCGCCCGAACAATATCCTGCCTTGTACCCTTCGGAATGACTGGTAGAATATGCCTGAAATCGCCACCAAAAACAACTGTTTTACCACCAAATGTCATTTCATAACTACTTGGATTTTTGAAGCACAACAAATCCCTCATAGTTCGGTCTAGGGCTTCAAAACAAAATTTGTGCATCATTGGAGCTTCATCCCATATTATCAACTTGTTTTGAACAATAAGCTCTGCTAATGGACTACCGTGACTTATGTTGCAAGTCGAATCTTCATTAACAGATATGGGTATGGCAAACCGAGAATGTGCAGTTCTTCCACCTGGTAATAAAAGCGAAGCTATGCCGCTAGATGCAACATTTAACACTATTTCCATGTTAGACCTTAAAGCGGGGGACAATGCTCTCCACAAAAACGTCTTACCAGTCCCTCCATAACCATAAACGAAAAATAACCCCCCCAGCTTTTTGATCAATATCTGTTAACACCTCATTGTATATGACCTTTTGCTCTTCTGTTAACTGGCCTTACCAATTCCTAGTTCTCTTTCTCCTGACCCACACAGTCATATGACAACTCTTCTTGTATAAACCTGTTTGATATAACATTAAAGGCCTCAAAATTGGTCATAGGCATTTCAGGAAAGTCCTTCAAACTCTTACCATGAATTGATAAAAGTTTTTCAATCTCCATAAATCAAAGTTCATCTTGTGAGAGTCAATCAACACAAAATCTGCATATGTTTATATAAAAATATACTAATTAACTTAACTACGGTAAACATCAATTGATATTTTGTTTGCAATATAATAAAATTAATCTGTACAATGTATGTGTACCTCTATTTTGCAATTGTTTTCGGATCTGGAATTGTGCATCGTCAGACAATTGTGGTCACACAGCATTCCAAACTGTTTCCGGTTTACCAATGCAACTGCTCATTAGCAATGTAACAAATAATCTCCTCAACTGATCTCCTGACGCCCAATGACTGGCTTCATCTATTGCATCAACATATTCGTTATCATCATCAACTAAACCTCTAGCATAACACGCATCTCGAAATGAGGCATAATGTACACCGTTTACAGTCCTGATATCGACATAACTTGTAGGGTCACGTATTTTATTCAACAAACATCGCAAATAAAAGATTTCTCCAGTTGCAGGCGGGACATAGAAGATCCTTCCAATTGAGAACCCTTTTTTCCGTGGCTGCCATTTTCTAAGGTCCTTCTTCTACACAAATCTTGTTGGCATCTCAACATAAGTAAGCTCTCTTGCATCTGGGAATGTCTTATTAGCCTCAAACCATTCCAAGAACATGCTTTGTGCTATAGTGGGTCTGTTAACAATGTTCTCAATAGGATCATCATCTGAAAACACCACACTTTGTTGATTAGGGAGGTGAAAGCTTAACCTTTCCACTAAAGGAGCCTTAAGTTGTATATCAAAACCAAACAAACGCCAAACCGCTTCACATGGTGATATGTACCTATAGTCATAGTACATATTAATCTCATCTATAAGTTTTCCATTCTCTTCATCATTGCTAGTTTTGTAGAATTCGGCTGTTACCCGATCATGACCCTTGTTAACATACTTGAAGAGGTACTTGATTGAGCGGGACTGGTTGCACCACTCGACATTTATGTGAGCCTTGTACTTAAATAATAAATGTCTATTGTGCGGTACAACATATCTGTTGTCCAATGCGATGCCGTTCTTTGTAACTATACTGCCGTTGTCTCTCCGTTTATATACCGGATAAACATCGTCATCAAATGTAGAACACTCAACAAATCTCTTTGGAAAATATTTTGAACATCGTCCATTTACCATACATGGAGAATTGCTCCTTGCTTTTCCACATGGGCCATGCATCATAAATTCCTCTACAGCTTTGTAATACTCGACATTTGTATTTTCATCTGGTATCTCAGCTGAAATGATTTTGTCTAGAGTAACCACTTCACTAACTGTTTTAGTTTTCTCCAAAAAAGCAGTATATGAGCATGTGGAAAACCTCTCTTTTGGAACTCAATGGTATATATAACTGCAAAATAATAGCAAAACCCAAATAAAGAGAATGGAATTTATGCTAATTTGAAATAAATTGGTGTAAGACTAAACAAAAGTATTACCTCCAGTGAAAGAGCCAAAAAGTTTGTTTTTTCGACAATCAGCTATCAAGGAATCCAACTTCATCTTGAATAATCGGCAAGTTATGTCAGGGCGGTCTTCTGCTTTCAACCTTCGATCTTGTAAAAAACATTGCACCTCTGGCCACTTTCGGTTGCATGTAAACGTTATAAATAAATCCAGGTATCCAATCCATCAACATATTGCCATGGAATCCTGATAGTTTTGTAACATGTATCGAGCTCCGCCTGTAAAACTTGAAGGTAGTATTATTCTACGATCTTGTGCTGCCGGGTTTATTTCACCCCTGGTTAAAGCATCGGTCAACCCATTATATGTTTCACACCTTAGGCTTTTTTTGTGTGTCCTGATATATGTATATGTATGTATGTATGTATATTAAAAATTACAAAATATAAAAACAAATCAATATAAATTTTATTTTATAATATTTAATAAACAAATATACTACTTAATATAATAAATTATTGGACCCAAAATTTATTTCTTTCATTTTTTTTTCTAAATAATCTGGTCCAATACTAACCCAATAATGCAGTCCATAACCCAAACCCAATAATTCTACATATAAAATGTTTTCTCCTAACCCCAAGTGATCGTTATGCTGTGCATCCGTATGTACCATGCATGGTGCATCCGTATGCATATACAGATGCCAAAACGACGTTGTTTTATTAAAAACGTGCATCCCACTTAAAAAATAAAATTCAGTTTCGATTCCCCTCAACAGCATTATGTGTTCATAGATTCTGGAAGTTTAGTTCATAGATTCTGGAATTTTAGTTCATCGATTCTGGAATTTTAGTTCATAGATTTTGAAATTTTAGTTCATAGATTCTGGAATTTTAGTTCATTCATTCTGGAATTTTAGTTCATACATTCTGGAATTTTGGTTCATTCATTCTGGAATTTTAGTTCATAGATTATGGAATTTTAGTCATCGATTCTGGAATTTTAGTTCATCGATTCTGGAATTTTAGTTCATCGATTCTGGAATTTTAGTTCATTGTTCTGGATATATAGTTCAAATTATGCACAATATAATGTTGTTGCTGGGAATCGAAACTGATTTTTTTTTTAAGTGAAATGCGCGTTTTTAATAAAACGACGTCGTTTTTGCATCCGTATGCACCATGCATGGTGCATACGGATGCACAACATAATTTACCAACCCCAAGACCATCTCTAACCATCTGCACCAAATTCTGCACTATATTTTACATCAAAAAGAATATTCCCTGTATATTTATACATCAATTTGTATCATCTCCAACCCATTACAACAATATTATTTTATAATACTTAATAACCAAATATATTACTTAATATAATAAATTCTTTGCCCAAGCTTTATTTCTTTCATTTTTTTTCTAAATAATCCGGCTAAAAACTAACCCATTAATGTAGCACATAACCTGAACCCAATAAAACAGTTAGTAAAATATTTTCTCCTAACCAGCTAACTATAAGGTCATCTATAACCCTCTGCAATAGATTTTACCTCCAAAAAAAAAAAATGAATATTCTCAGTATATTCTTACACCAATTTTTTTCTATCCTCAATCAATTACAAAAAATTCTGAACAAAATTTTATTTATACACTAAAATATGTTTTTTTAATAAATTAAGACATTGTATTATAAGTTTAGCTTATTTAATATAAAATATAATTATAATGTACATATTATTTTATTTCACAATAATAAATCATATAACATATATTACATTTAATTTTCATATGCGGTGACATTGAATATTATTACCTCTTCATTCTTGTTAATCTATTATGTTTAACAAATAGCGAAATAATTGTTTTATATACATATGTGTGTGTGGGGGGTGGGGTGAGGACGATGACTAATCTTGTGCATTCTTTATTTTATAATATTATATTATATATATAGTAACTTATTTATCTGTATTATTAAGGTTATTATACAAATAAATATACACTTTCTAGCCCCATTACATTTTATATTCTGATCCAACCCAAAACACATACATAATTTAAACTTTATATTAAGTACAAAATATTTTTAAGCCCAATCAAAGCTGGGATTAAAGCTCATCCCGTATGTCTATCCAAACCTATGTAGAAAAGGCGCAAAATGCTTTGCCTTCATCATTTTTCGCTCCAAGATGCGCAGCTATCTGCTCTCCTATATGTTGCTTCGTCTCTAAACCCTAGAATGATACATGTGTGATGCACAAACTACTTATTAATAATATTATTGTGAAATTTTATATGGAACAAAATATCTTTTAAAAAAATAAATTGAAATTTATATGTTAAAAAAGTAATTTTATATATGTTTAATAACTTTTTAAAAGAATCGACATTTAAATGCAAAGCAATTAATACGCAATTACCAGATCAATTCACAGAAGTATTATAAATTTACAAACTATTGATTAGTATTTGCACCCGTGCGATGCACGGTCATATATATAGTATATATATACAGTATAATATAATAAGAAAAAAAAAATATAAAGTATAAAAAGCTAATAATTTTGAAATAATAAACGTTGAAATTTTATTACACATTCTTTGTACACAACATTTGTAGTTGTACTTATAAATGATACATTTTCACCACAAAAATGTTTCAGTATGTAGAATGAAGAATATTTCGTAAACAATATTTATTATGGGGGTTTACATGTAAAGATTAACTAATATTTGATATGCAAACAATAAGTTGTTATTAGTTATAAAACAATGAAACTGAAAATGCTATGAAAAGTAAGGCATGAAAAAAAAATTAATTACAGATTATTGAAGACTTCACCTTCATTGTAAATCTAAAACTTTAAACCATTTGGGTTGCTAACTATGGAAGCAAAAACATATGCTTTGACTATAAACGTTGGTTTAATTTCTTTAAGAGCAGCCCTGAGATAACATATAATATGACAATACTTATACAAATAGATTTTGCATAATTTGCTTAAGATAACTTGACAGATTTCCAGTAGTAAAGGATTTCAACAATTTCATTAAGATACAATACAATTTAGAATCAACCTAATAAACAATCATTATTACATTGACCATGTTCCACACAATTATATGGACCATAAATAAAAATTACATTTTTAATATACTAATTTTTAATATACTAAGGGTATATTATTTATGTACGTAAGGTGTATTTTCTGAAAATACATTTTTAATGTGTATTTTCTAATTTGTTTAAAGGAAGTTATTTACTAAATTTTTAATATAATATACCTTCAATACAAAAATAATGTACCTTTAGTACAAAAATAATATATTTCTAATACATCAAAAATATATATGATATTTATGGTCCACACAGTAATTTGCCCCTAATAAAAGGGTAAGTTCCAAACTTCATTTAAGATGGGAAAAAGTGTCAAATTGGCCCCCTAAGTCGAGTGGATAGTACGTGCAATTGGGTCCCATAAGTGAAAAAAGCTTCATTCAGGTCCCCTAAACCTGTAAAATTGTTCAATTAAGTCGAAGTTGACTTGTTTATCAGGTTAAATGCATACGGTGTTGACACGTGTCTTTATTTTATTTTTTTATTAAAAATATTATTTATTATAAATTAAATAATAATAATAATAATAATAATAATAATTAAAAATAATTAAAAAAAAAACATTTGTGGCCGTCTAGCCACAGCCGTCTAAGGAAGCTAAGACAGTTGTTCCAGTCCCCTCCGTCTAGAACGAGGGCGGCGGCGAAGGCCGTAGTCCTCGTCTAGATCTAGAAGACGGTCATGGCCGTCTTCCTTAAACAGTCGTGGCCAGATGTCCACGGGTGTCCTTAAAGAAGGAAGACAGCTACCAGTTGTCCGGTGTGGACAGCCGGTGGCTGTTTTTTTTTTAATTTTTTTAGTTACTCCATATTATTATTATTATTATTATTATTATTATTATTATTATTATTATTATTATTATTATTATTATTATTATTATTCTTTAATTAATAATATTTAAAAAAAAAAAAAAAAAAAAGGACACGTGTCAACACTGTATGCATTTAACTTGATAAACAAGCCAACTTAGACTTAATTGAACAATTTTAAAGGTTTAGGGGACTTGAATGAAGCTTTTTTCACTTCAAGGACTCAATTGCACTATCCATTCGACTTAGGAGGTCAATTTGACACTTTTTCCTTTAAGATGCATTCTAATTCCTCTTTTGCTGTGCGCATTTAATGGTCCAACATAAATTCAATAATTATTAATGTCCATTCTGTAAACAATAAATGGAAGGATAAGTATATGTATATATATATATATATATATATATATATATATATATATATATATATATTAGCTTCTTCTTTTTTTTTTTTGAAAGGAGCCTGTACGACATTTATTCAAAATATGCAGAAATAGATGCTGGTGGATCATAGTCCGAGTACATACTAGTTGACTGAGTAATTACAGTAGATGCTAGAGTATGAGCTAAATAATTATCTAGTCTAGGAACATAATGAAGTAAACAATAATCAAAAGATAATATACTAGTCCTGTAACTATCAATGGCATAACCCAAGTACGATCTTGACGAGTGTGTCATAGATGATAAATATTGTTGAAGCACCAAACAATCCGTGAAGAGCTCGATAGACTTTATTTCGCGACTTCTTAGCCACGACAAAACTTCCTTGCACGCAAAGGCCTCCGCCATTAGGGCCGAAAAACAGTCTATCATAGGGGCAGTCATAGCCGAAACATAATGTCCTTGCCAATTTAGAATAATGGCTCCCACCGCTGCTTTGTTTGTCTGTGGGTCGTACGCCGCATCGAAGTAACATTGATCCCTCATGTTTTGCGTGGCTTGGTGTACCATGTTCGGCGTTGGCAGCTGTGATGTAGTCGGCACAGCAATAGTATTGGTTGTTGCCGAAGGGACCGCCGTAGCAGTGTGGCCGTCCACCACGGGAGCAGTCTGGCTGCTTGATGTCGCGGAGGTGGCCGGTGGACGCAGACCAGGATGGGCTACTTTCCAAGCATTCACAGCTGATGATGCCATTGCAATTATCTTCCGAGGCCTGGGCAAGGTCGCATCCCATACAGCCCCATTCCTTGCACGCCAAATATAATATAAAAGTGCCACTGCATAAATAATTCCATCATTATCTAAAATATTCGTCAAATCATTAAACCAATCACTGAAAATATTTGTGACACTATTGGGGATTGGAAGGTGGGATTGTGCCCAAACGTTTGTCGAATAATCACATGTGATCAAAGAATGCACAATATCTTCATGCCCAATCCCACACATGGCACATGTTGGATCAATATCAACTCTCTTTATAAGTAGGTTCTTTGTAGTGGGCAAAATATCATTTAGAGCTCTCCACAAAAATGTTTTCCACTTTGGGGGGCTTTAAGCTTCCATAATATTTTCCATTTATCAAAGGTTCCAACCGCTTGGGTGTAGTTACCTACTATTTCTCTATAGCCACTTTTAACCGAATATTCTCCTTTTGGGTCCCCATACCAATACCACAAATCCTCATACTCTGGTGACACAGGTATTTTTAAAATTCGCTCTACATCCTCAGGGTCAAAAATATCAGTTAGAATATCCTGATCCCAGGTTCCTGTCTATTGATCCATCAGTCCCATCACCTTTGCCTGTGTCAATTCATAAGTTCAAATTATTGAACATTTGGTTGTGCATCATATTTATGAAAATGTTGTAACCAAGGGATTTATTAGAACAAAAACATTTAACTTGTGGTGCACTGTCATTTAATAAATTCTTCAGTGATTAATAGAGTCTTTAGTTTCTTCAAAATTGATCCTGGGCCATTTCAGTTGTAAGGCTCAAAACAATTTTGTGGGACACATAAGTAAGACTCATTATGTTCAATTCATTTAAAGTGAACATTGAAGTTATTTGGGAAGTTATGGTGTATGTTTAAGATTCCAAATTTATGGACTTGGATCTTTGGTTTATTGTCCCAGGTTCCTCTAGCTACTCTACAGCCATGTATCTCTCCCTTTGCATGTGCCTATTTTAATAATATTGAAAGCCCTTCAGCACAAATAATGAACAAATAAGGTGACATGGGATCACCTTGCCCTTCACCAATATATTAGCTTCTTTATTTGTATTATTAAGTTGGAACATAGAAATCAGACATATAAATAAACATCTTTCAGCCAATTTATATTAGGCCTACATAGTCTAAGCGCAATTTAAAGAGTTTAAAGCCCAACCCACCCTAATCCTAAGTATAATTTGGCAAATTATGCTATGCGCACGTGCGCACCTTTGCAAGGTGCGCACGGCGCTAAAACGGCGTCGTTTTTCATGAAAACGATGCTGTTTTAACTATAAAAAAAAAAAAAAAAAAATTGTTCGAAACGCCGTTAACAGCGTTAATGGCATATTCGTTATGAAATTATGAATATACAGTTATGACATTATGAATGTACAGTTATAGAATTATGAATGTATAGTTATGGAATTATGAACTTACAATTATGAACATAGAGCTTCGAAAATTATGAATGTTCGGTATGGAATTATGAATATACAGTATGGAATTATGAATGTACAGTTATGGAATTATGAATGTACAGTTATGAAATTATGAACATAGAACTCTGACATTATGAACTTACAATTATGAACATAGAGCTTCGAAAATTATGAATTTACAGTTATTCAATTATGAATGTACAGTTACGGAATTATGAATGTACAGTTATAGAATTATGAATGTACAGTTATGGAATTATGAATGTACAGTTATGAAATTATGAACACAAAGCTGTGAATATATGCTCCTATAACGAAGCGGTCTGAAATTAAATTAAAAAAAAAAAAAAAAAAAAGGAAGATAACGGTGCCTGACGGCACCGTTACCGTGCCCATGATGCACGCTGGGCACGAGCCCACAGCATAACTATCCGTATAATTTGGATGAAACGATTCGCCTTCTTCAATTTTCAGTCCATGCTTCACGCCACTCGTCTCCGGCAAATTATGCTATGCGCACGTGCGCACCTTGCAAGGTGCGCACGGCGCTAAAACGGCGTCGTTTTCCGTGAAAACGACGCTGTTTTAATAAAAAAAAAATGTTCGAAACGGCGTTAACGGCGTTAACGGCATATTCGTTATGAAATTATGAATATACAGTTATGACATTATGAATGTACAGTTATAGAATTATGAATGTATAGTTATGGAATTATGAACTTACAATTATGAACATAGAGCTTCGAAAATTATGAATGTTCGGTATGGAATTATGAATATACAGTATGGAATTATGAATGTACAGTTATGGAATTATGAATGTACAGTTATGGAATTATGAATGTACAGTTATGAAATTATGAACATAGAACTCTGACATTATGAACTTACAATTATGAACATATAGCTTCGAAAATTATGAATTTACAGTTATTGAATTATGAATGTACAATTACGGAATTATGAATGTACAGTTATAGAATTATGAATGTACAGTTATGGAATTATGAATGTACAGTTATGAAATTATGAACACAAAGCTGTGAATATATGTTCCTATAACGAAGCGGTCTGAAATTAAATTTAAAAAAAAAAAAAGAGGGAAGATAACGGTGCCTCACGGCACCGTTACCGTGCCCATGATGCACGCTGGGCACGAACCCACAGCATAACTATTGCTCGCCTCCTGCTTCCTCCGTCGATCCACACTCGGCGTTCACTTCGTCATCAACGATGCCCGTCCTCAAGCTAAGCTCACATTTTCTCGTGCTCTCCATCTATCGTTTGTTTCTTCCTTGTAGGTTAGGGATTTCATCTATATCATATTTCATCTGCACTTTAACCGATTATACCCAAATTTTTTCTTTCAATTGTCGGCTTACATCAGATCTCCCCTACAGGTTGCTAGTTACCTTGATAGTGTAGATGTGGCCGATACAATGATTCGGCAAAAATTGAAAAACCCTTGTACATATATGTATACTTTTTTTCGATATAATTTCATTTTTTTCAGATTTTATTTTGATTTTTTATTAAATATTATACTTTTCGTTTGCAGGTCATGTTCCTTGTGCGGAATCAGATATGTGGCTGATACAATGATTCGGCCAAAATCGAAAAACCCTTGCACAATTTCTCTTCAATAAAACGACGCCGGCGTTTCAAAAAAAAAGTAAAATCAGTCTGTTTATAATTTCTGTATAGTTTTTTTGATATAATTGCATAATTTTCTTTGGTTAGCAGGTCATGTACCTTGTGCGGAATCATTGAATACTGGGTTTGTAGGCCTAAGGAGGGTTCACCTAACTTGGTTGATTATGCTGAGAAACAGGCCTGAAGAGCTGCATTAGAAGTCCAAAGCCTTCGGTAGAGAGGACTTTGGACTTCTACTGCCAATAATTTGACTCCACCATGGGGAATGAGAGCTCTTGTCTCTGGATTTGCAGAGAGTTATTTTTTAATCAGAGGAGATGAGGACTGATTGTAACAGAAATGCAGAAACAGAAGGGGTGGCTTATCTGATACTGCAGAAGTTTCTGCATTCAGAAGCTGCATCTGGAGGCTGGAGTGCAGATCTTCTGATTTGCTGGATGGTGCAGAAGGGGATTGTGTAGGAAATGGCTGAAGGATTGAAAGCTAATTTGACCTGGCTGAGGAAATAGCTGCTGTTTGTGGTTCTCTGGTACTGAGAGCTTGTGCGGAATCATACAGGTTATGTACCTTACATAGGTAATAATATGAATTTGAGTTATTTTGTTGAATTTACATTTCAATAAAGATTTACTTGTACAGCATGAATTTCTTTCAACATTGAATAATTTTTTCAAGATAATGATTTATGTTACTAACAGAAAATGCAGAACAGAAGTATTTTTACAGGAAAAATACAAAATTGATATTACCTGTTTGTCTTGGGAAAGACATTCCCTCTTGCTAGTACTCTCCTCGCAGTCAGGTACTTCGTAAGTAGGTTTGGACCAGTCGGACTCATATTGCTCACCTCCCCACCTGAGAGGCTGAGAGGCAAGAATGTATTTTTGCAGTAGATTTCGAACTCTTTCCTCTATGGTGTTCAAACTCAGTTTACATCACTATTTATAGTTGGGAATCAAAGTTGTATATCATTAGTTTCTTGGGAAAATCGCACTTTTGGTCCCTCAATTGTTTCCCGATCTGTAATGTGGTCCCTCAATGTCAATTTCAGTCAATTGGGTCCTCCAGTTCTTTAAATCATTGTCAATTTGCCCCTCCGGTCAAATTTCACATGGACCATGGTTAAAAGCGTGGATAGAATGGTAATTTCCAATACCCTTTAACCCCTTTCCTTATTTCCACCGAATTAACCCCAATTCACTTACCATTTCTGCCATAACCAATACCCGTTTCTTACTCCCATTCCGCAAATTATCCCTGATTCACGTACCAATTCTCCCAAAATCTACGAAGACGACGAAGTTCATATTGCACGGCCATGTCTTCAAACAATTTGTGCGACTCAGTTGAATGGATTCCAGAAGTTCGTTGTTGGTGCGGCGAAGTCGCTCCGGTAAGGATGTCCTGGAGTTATGCCAACCCTGGAAAGCGATTTAGATCATGCCCACGCTATGGAGTACGTGTAAGCATCATAAACGAATCTTGAGCTGTTCTTAGGTGTTAGAGTATTTAATTTAGCTTTGTTTATTGATTTTGATTGGCAGGGGAATGGGCACTGTAGCTATTTCCAATGGTTGGACTCCGATGTCTCTGACCGTGTGTCTAAAGTGATTCGAGGTTTATTGAAGAGGTTAGATATGCAAGAGAGTGAAATGCAAAGGCTTCAAGTAGTGATTGATGAGAAAACTGTCCAGCTTAAGAAGAAGACTCTGACTTCAAAATTTCAATTTTTGTATGGTTTTGGATTTGGAATTGTGGTTGGTTTTCTTTGTTTTAGGCTTTGGATGACAAGTGTTGATCCAAGTGAAAAGCTTCTACAATTGGCTTAGGAATTTTAATGCGTAATGTTTGTAAAAACTTGGGAATTTTAATGCTTATGAACTCTATTGTCAGTTTGGATTATTGAATTAATGCAAGTTATGTAATCTATTGTCTGTTTGGATTATTGAATTAATGCATGTTATGTATAGTGGCTGGAAGTTAGATGATAGATTCATTGTTAATACTGAAATGACCATTGGCTTGGAGTTAAATGACCAAATGTGCTGAGTAGTCTATTTCAAAGGGACTCACTGTTAAACTGCTAGCATAATAGAGTCATAATAGATTCATAGATTCATAATGAGTAAATTTGCAAAATACATTCATTGTTATCATTGGACAAATGTATCTACTGATTGTGGCTTAGATTCATGCTGAAACAGCCAACCAAAAACATACAAAAACAGCAAAAATATCAAATGACCACCAAACTGACCACCAAAAAATATCAAATGACCACCAAATTGTTTACAAAAAAACAGTCAAACTTGAACTAGAAACTTGTGTAGCTTGATGATCAAATACTTCATTTCTTTTTGTTGGCCAATCTCTGCATTGCATGAGTTCTTAATGCTTGAGCTGTCAGAATCTTAGGGGCAGCAGTTGAACTAGAAACTTGTGCACCAATAAAGGTTGACTGTTGTGGAACCTGGTTTTGAAGTGGTTGTGCAGGCTGAGAACCCATTACCTCCTGAGATGCCTAAACAAAGTATTGCTCAGTAAGTTCAGAAAGTTTAAGTAAACAACCAACATAAATCAGGAACATCCACTTACCATTTCATCAAGTACAAATGATGGCACTTGTGTTTCAACTGGTATCTCTTCAAACTGCCCTTCAACATCACCTTGCTCTTCAAACTGCCCTTCAACATCAACATGTTGATTAATCTCTTCAACTCTTTCAGATGCCTATAAGATGATAATATTAGTTTCAACAGTCAATTAATAACAAAGAAATTTAAACTCAAGTAATAACACAACCTGTGGATTTTTAGCCTTGCAAGTAGTTTTATTATGCCCTGTCAGTCCACACACTCTGCATCTCTTCACCTCCCCTAGTTTCTTTGTTCTGACTTGACTATTCTGTTGCTTGCTCTCTTGAATTGGATCTATCTTTCTCTTTTTTTTTTAGGCCTACCAGGTTGTGCCTTATACTTTGGGGGAATTGGTGCTAGAAGATCTGATTTAACCCATAAATCTGAAGACTGAATGGGAAGTATTGCAGGTTCATAAGTTGTCAAATAAGTCTCAACTGTATAACATTGATGCACATAATCTTCAGGGCTTTCTCTTTGTTTCCTTATAGCTGCTACACCATGACTGAAAGGAATGCCAGTCAGATCCCATCCTCTACAGCTGCACTGTCTTTGGGATAAATCCACCTTGAAGGTCTTGAAATTCTGATCATCAACTTGGTATATATTATCATGTGACTTATAAGTACTATACCTAGCTGACATATCCTTTGCATCTTCTAGACACTTTCTGATTTTGGGACAGATTTTATGTTGATAAGTTTTCATTTTGTCTCTATTCTTTTGCATTCTAGTCATTAGATAAATCCTTATCTTATCAACCATGGTTAGGATATGCTTGTCCCTCAAACTAAAAATAGTGCTATTCCAGGACTCACACAAATTATTCAAAAGCATATCACACTTTGGAAAAGTGCTAAAAAATGCCCTACAGTAATGCCTAGGATCTCTGGCAGCCAACCACTCAACAACTTTGTCATTTTCTTCCTTTAATTCCTCCATATACCTTTTAAAATCTGCCTCAGTTGTAGCTTTACACACAGCCCACAATTTTAACTTCAGAACATTTCCAGTAAAGCCATCCTTCAGAAAGTTGGCATGCATATGCCTTACACAGAACATGTGCTCCAATCCAGTAAACAATTCTTCAACAGCTGGTAACAGACCTTTTTGTTTATCTGATATTATAGTCCAGGCATGAGGATTACTTCCTATGTTCAAATCATTGTCTAGCAGTTTTAAAAACCATGTCCAACTTTCCTTTAATTCTCCCTCAACAACAGCAAAGGCTATAGGAAACATGCAATTATCTCCATCAAGACCAATAGCACTTAACAGTTGCCCTCCCTTCTGACTACCCTTCAAATGGCATCCATCCAACCCAAAAATAGGTCTACATCCTCTTAGAAATCCTTCTTTGCAAGCTGCAAAGCAAACATACAATCTAAGAAACCTAGGTCTGCCACACTAAACTGACTATCAAGCTTCATCTTGACAGTACTCCCAGGATTACTTCTCTTTAATTCATCACAATAATCATTAAGCATCTTGAACTGTTCAGAATCTTGACCTTCCAACTCCTTTCTAACCTTATGCTTAGCCCTATAAGCCTGATGTTTTGTAACTTGACAATGTAATTTCTCTTTCACATGCTCTTGAAATTTTCTTCTCCCCCAGTCCATTTTCAATCTAAAATCATCCTTGTACAACTTAGCAAGGAATCCTGAATTAACAGTTTTGTTTTCATCTTGGTCCCCACATGTGTGTTCAGGGTTGTATGTTTTAATTTGAAATGGACATCTAGGATTGCTTCTTGAGGAAAACATTGTCCAGCTGCAGATGTCTGAGTGTCTACAATAAACCCTTACCCTTCTGGACTCATTCTTTGCAAATTTAATATCTTTTCTTCTCATTGCCTCATAATACTTTACAGCCCACTTAAACTCTGAGGCAGATTTAAAAATCATTCCCAAAACAAACTTAAAACCTTCTTTTTTCAGGTTTCTTTCTTGGAAAATAGTTTCAGGACCATTCACTTCCCTCTCAGAATCTGAATCAGCTAAACTCCTAAAAATGTCTTCAGAAACTACACAATCAACTTCATCAACTTGTACCTCATCATTGTTCACCTGCTTAGAACTAGGACCAGGACTATTGACTTCTACCTCAACTTCTTCAAACAAAGTTTCTGGTCCATTTACTTCCCTATCAGATCTTTGTTCACTTGTCTCATCTATCCCATCATTCAACAGTGCATCATCTCCCAAAGTCCTAGATATCTCTACTTCATAATCCCATTGATCATCATACAAATGTTCAACATAAATATCCAACTCCTTGTTTGTTGGAACCTCTAAATCAAGAACTATAATATCTGCATCACTGGTCAGTTTGCTCAGTTCAAGTTTTTTTGCATTTTTTCTACCCTTTTTCTTAACCCAGAATTGGACCTTTTTATCACAAAACCTTAGTTGTTTTACCATCCTTCTTAAATCCAGTAAACTTCCCTCTTCACTATTGAAATGATCAAAATACTCAACAAAACAATCCATATACTCAACTTTTGGCTTCCATACCAAATTACCACCAATATGCAGTTTTAAAGTAAACACAGATGAAGCCTCACCAACATCTATAAAGCATGAATTTAAATTCAGTGTCAATTTTACAGTTTTATAGTCAAAAATTGGATGAGCTATTCACAGTACAATAAAGACACAATCAGTGCACTACCTATGGTCCCCATGTGGCTACAACAAAGTAACCAACAACAACTGGTCCCCACTAAGCAATAACTCCAAAACCCAACACAGTGCACATGTCAAAAATATACATACAACCCTACTTCAAGTTCCTCGTACATGCGATTTTCCCTTTATTTAAGTAGAACTGGTCCCCACTAATCCCAGAACCCAACACATTGCACATGTTAGACACACAAGACAAACTTTATCTTTTCAACTGCACAAGAATAAATAAAGCATAGGATAGCTCAGATACTTACACGTAGGATTTGAATTGGAGCCATTTATCCTCCGACTAGTCATGCTTGTGCTCGTCCTCGTCGTCCTCTTCGCAGCAGTAGTATTTGGGGGTTAAATGTCTGATTCGCAGATTGGGGGGAAGCTAGGGCTTAGCAGAAATGGTAAGTGAATTGGGGTTAATTCGGTGGAAATAAGGAAAGGGGTTAAAGGGTATTGGAAATTACCATTCTATCCACGCTTTTAACCATGGTCCATGTGAAATTTGACCGGAGGGGCAAATTGACAACGATTTAAAGAACTGGAGGACCCAATTGACTGAAATTAACATTGAGGGACCACATTGCAGATCAGGAAACAATTGAGAGACCAAAAGTGCGATTTTCCCTTAGTTTCTTTATTACATTACATTGGAGACTGAAGAGTTAAAGACATTAATCAGGCGGCTGTTTGGATTCCCAAAACAATAATCATCATAAATTTAAATAAATTGGAAAACATTTAATGGACACAAACACGCGTGAGCAATACATCTTGAATACAGCAAAATGACCGCATTATTTGGGCGGTTATGCGGCTTCCAATAATAGAATGCACTACACATTGAATCATATGCAAATATGTCAAAACGGTGCAGTATCAACTGGACGGGAAAATTTTTTTCCAAAAACTTCTTGCTTTATTATAGAGTTAGATTAGATTAGATTTTTATACTTGTATAGCATAAGTCAATTTATATTTTATATGTGCAAAGATTATAAAGTAATGCAGAGTGGCAATTTATGCCATCCTCTGAATTGAAATAGTATTTTTTATCACGATTTGAACTAAAATAGTTCATTGTCGATGCCATATATATATATTATCCTCTGAATTGAAATAGTATGTTTTGTCACGATTTGAACTAAAATAGTTCATTGTCGATGCCATATATATATATATATATATATATATATATATATATATATATATATATATACATATATGTATATATATATATATATATATATATATATATATATATATATATATATATATATATATATATATACATGTATATATATATACATGTATATATATATATATATATATATATATATATATACATATATATATATATATATATATATACATATATATATATATATATATATACATATATATAAAATTGCACTCTGGTGCGAATGGAGCGCTCAGGTGCGAATGCCTGATATCCGTCCACTTGTTCAGATCTAATGGATGAGAAACACTGATTTTTTAAAAAAAATGCGGTGGCATTTTCGTAAATAATTGAATATCGAAGTGCAAGTAAAATGTATTACAAGTGCATGTAAAATGTATTATTGGTGCAAATAAAATTTACACTGAGCATCAATACTAAGTGCACCTATAGTTATAAGTAGTTGCACCTAGGTGCATGAATGTTTGCGGGTGATTTTCGGGTACTATTACCCGCTGAACTCCTCGCAAGAACAAAAACGATGCCAAACAGAACGAACTCGGATCAATGAATGTTAACAAGGCAAAATTACATGCATTTGCAGGCGAAAGTATGTGCACTTGTAGGTGAAAGTAGGTGCACCTGTAGGTGAAAGTAGGTGCATTCGATCAATAAATGCAGGCAAAAAACTACATGCACTTGCAGGCGAAAGTAGGTGCACTTGTAGGTGAAAGTAGGTGCACCCGATCAATGAATGCTGACACGTGGCGTGCGCTGATTGGTTCGCATTTCTCTCCTGTGCAACTATTCGCACCTGAACACGACCATATATATATATATATATATATATATATATATATATATATATATATATATATATATATATATATATATTATTTTTAAAGTTAATTATATAAATGGTCTATTGACTATAGCGAAATTATAAATTTGGTCCTTCACTATATTTTTGACCAGTTAGGTCCCTCAACTTTAAAAATCTTAATTAATTTGGTCTTCCGTTTGTTTTGCCGTTAGACATCCATTAATTCGGGACCATTTCGATAAATAACTTTTCAGAGAAAGTGGTGCATGTGATGACCGAAATGGTCCCTTGACTATGTAAAATTACCAATAGCATGTTACTTTGTACGTAAAACCATTAACTTTCAAACCAACAAAGAAAATTAAAAATGTCGAATTGCAATAAACTTCTCTTTTTATTGAAATTGCTTGTATGGAGCGAAACAATACAATTTTCATCATGTGATTTTCATCCAGGTCAAGAATGTTCAAAACCGAAACCAACAACTGAATGCTGGAAACAAATTGTTAAAGCTGTTCAAGCAGATGGAAATCATGGGCGTGAATCGTATGGATTTTTTCCTCATGAATGTTGTTTAGAGCTTAGAACATATGATCCTGAATTAGTACTCTTCAATGGTATGGATGCGTGGTGGAATTGTCAATGGTATGGATACGAGGTGGAATTGTCAATCTTAGGGTGTGTTTGGTTCGCACATGGGAATCGAAATTGGAATGGGTATCAAATACTTGGTAATGATAATGAGTTTTAGTGAAAGTATTTTACTTGTTTGGTAGTAGGGTGGAATGAGAATGATTATCAATAATGCTATTTGGTTATGTATGATCCAATAATGGGAATTAAGATTTAAAAAATATAAGAACACAAAATCAAGACAATTGATTATAATATAAAAGACATCCAAAACACCACTATGAACAAAAAAATAAAAACAAAAATCTAAAAGCATTAATCAAAGGAGATGAGAAGGAATAATGGAATGAAAAGGGATGATACCCTTATTTTATTTAGTTATAGATTTTTCAATTAAGGCGATATTTGAAACCCGTAGTAGTGTTTTAAAAACTTATCAACCAAATAATACCGATAACTTTGATACCCATTCCTTATAGCTAAATCTGTCAATCAAACACACCCTTAATTATATTAAGATGTATACTTATATTTTTTACTATTTTAAAGACATAATTTAAAACTATATAATATGCACATATATATTAACAAAGCACATGCAACCTGAGGATGACAATTCCTTTTATCTCTGATTTCAGTTCAGTAGAGATGAAGATCACACTTTTTATTCCATTCAATTCTTGACTTTTAATAATAATAATAATAATAATTTGGTTTTCCCAAGAAAGTTGCATTACTTAATTTGGTAAAATATTAGATTCAATTTGATGGATAGAATTGATGAATGGTGATTTATCAAGATTGAGAACTCCAACTACACTGACTAGAAACTTAAGCTCCAATGAATTATTTCAATCCGAAATTGATTATTGATTATTGATTAATATTAATAATTTTACCAACCTTGTAACCCTGGTAGTATGGTAGGTTTCCTAAAATTACTTCCTAAGCTAGTTTGATTATTGGTGGAGTTGATCAATGCACCTCCCACCCTATACTATACTCTTATGACTCTATGAATGATGATGACAATTTTTAGAATTCAATTCTTGCCCCATATTTTTCCCTAACATAACCTATAATGTCATTTTATCTATATTTATTTCTCAGTCTTGACTCGTTTTTTTTAACCAATCAGAATACTTCTTCAAGTCTCAATTATGATAAAAGGACATTTAATATTTCTTGTACTTTGAAAACTTTTATCCCTTTGATTGGATCAAATAGTAGGATTAAGGGTAAATTACGTAGTAATCGTATTCGCTCGAGAGAGCTTTATTGTATTGACTCATAGTTGTTCTATAGATTCAAGATAGTTAGTTAGATAGCATTCTTAACTTGATATTGGTTTCGCATTACGCCCTAGTCAGCGTGGGACTTAGAGCCGTATGAGCTCTCAAAAGATAATAATTAACGTGTTGTCGTATGAGGAGTCTAATATACTTTACTTTTTATTGGGGTTGTATTGTAGACCAAGTCCATCAAAGTTTGTTTATACTTTATATAATATTCTATGAAAACATAGTAATACATGAATGATAACGTTTTTCTTTTACCTAATAGAAAAAGGAGTAAATACTCAAAATGGTCCATCGACTATAGCTAAATTCACAAATTGGTCCTCAACTTTCAATTTCACCCAATTAAGTCCTTAAGTTTGCAATTTTGACACGATTTGGTCCTCCATCTAATTGACCGTTTGTTGACCGTGATCGACGATCTCTAGAAGAACCTTCAGCTCTCGTCGGAGCACGTGGAGGCCTCCAGGATGACGTTGCACCGGCTCGGAAACACGTCGTCTTCTTCGCTCTGGTACGAATTCAACTACATTGAATCCAAAGGGAGGATGAAGAAGGTGACCGGGTTTGGTAGATTGCTTTCGATAGTGGATTCAAATGTAACAGTGCGGTCTGGAAATGCAACCGGAACCTTAAAAAACCGACGATGGACCATGAAATTACATATATATCCTCAAAAATCACAGTCAACAAATGGTCAAATAGACACAGGACCAAATTGTGTTAAAATTACAAAGTTAAGGACTTAATTGGGTGAAATTGAAAGTTGAGGACCAAATTGTGAATTTAGCTATAGTCGATGGACCATTTTGGGTATTTACTCTAGAAAAAGATACAAATAGCAATCTTTAGGTGATATTTTATTTTGTGTATGCCTAAAAATGATTTCAAATTTGGAGTAATACTTGTGTAAGATCGTGTCACGGGTCTCAATCCGTGAGACAGGTCAGATCTTTTATTAATGGGTCAAATATTTGATTAATTGGATGGGTCTTTGACCTCATGAATCAAAGATCCAACATGCCTCACAGATTGAGACCCGTGAGATAGTCTTATACAAGTTTTTGCCTC